ATTTTATTAAATGTTAATTTTTAAATTTAAAAATAATAATTTTTAATAAAGATATTAAATAAAAAAATATACTAATTATTGTCCATCTAACAAATAACCTTCTTCAATTGCACCCAACAGAGACACCAAGTCCTGGAAGTTTGTTTACGGAAAATCGGATATTCGAGTCACATCTAAATGCAAGATGCCATGCCAAAACCTGGTTGACCCATTCCATTCTTCAGCTGGAAACTTATGGACCAGGACAGCCCAACAATCATTGCCGATTCCATAAAATATAACCATTGGCGAACACCTACGAATGTGAATGCGGGGATAAGGCTTCCTTCTAGATCACCAACTAGGAGGTAGTGCAAAATCCCATGGTCATATTTAGTAGTAAGCAAATGTTGTTTTTTAAGTTAAATTTAGAATTTAACTTTTTGAGTTAGCATCTAAAAAATTGAATTTTTTTGAGTGTATCCACAAAATTACTTGAAAATGAATTAATCTTAAAATATGTAACAATTAATTTAAAGACATTTGATTGTAAATTAAAAAAAAATTACGAGATAATACAATTATGACTCATAAGAAAAGGAAAAAGGTAATATTCTTATATAATAGTGGTTATCAATTGTGATTAAAAAATTTTGTAATTTTTAATCTTAAAACTATTTGATTGTAATATATATTTTGCAGGCTCATTTTAAATTACATATTTTTAGTAACATTTTTCAGCCCTTATTCCAAGCCGACCAAAGGGAAATAAATAATTTTTATAGAAAGAGTATGGTTTAAAATTGGAGACAATTTTTTTTTTCAAGCACGACTGAGGGCTACTTTTGTTATATTCTTACACTAATTTAATAATTTATAGTCCCTTTTTATATGAAAAAATTAATCACAATTATTGCTCGATAGCGCAAATGGATTGTAGAGTTATAATAAGAATATTTTGTGAAATTATAAAAATGAGAAATGAGATAAGTTCATGTGTAAGTTATTTTTGACAGAAAAAAAAAAAAAAA